ATCACCCCCACCGGTATCACCCTCCCCCCATGTCACACACACCAACCGATATTACACACAAACCAGCGCGGGACAAGGCTGTGGGGATCGGTGCAGGGCGGTTAGGTTTTTACCTCTTTCTGTCAGAAGCTCAGAGATTTTGGGAGGGGGGGTGCAGAAATCTTGGCGGGTGCCAACATGCCTGAGAATCTGAATCGTGTTGATTGTATAGTCACATTTTTAATGGTAGCAAAATAAAACCAAAACCGCACTTCTTTAAAATACAAGATGCTTTATAGATCCTTCTCTTCCATCTGCTTATAAACCAACGTGTTATATAGCTCGTCCAACTGTATCATTTTGTCTCCTGCATCTCTTGAAAAATTATTTAAAATGGGACAACTTGGAACTGTTACCAAACTATTAATCTAAATGTATATGGAAATTAGGTTAAAATGATGAAAATCAGTTTCGGTGCCTACACCAAAATCTATTATACTTCATGACCCAGAGGATTCAGGGGCCTGGGCAAAGCAATTTTGGGGGCCCCTTCCATTTAAAAAAAAAGTTGCAATACTATACACTTCAGACATTCTTGTAGGGGTCCCTGTAGGGCCTGGGGCAAATTGTCCCACTTGCACGCCCCCCTCCCCCCCATTATGATCAGAAATGTATTTTAAACCCTATATTTTCTGTAGCCAGTATGTGCTGCTGGACAATTTTTCACATCTTTCCAAATTAAATAGGTCTGGGAAAATACTTTTCTTTAGTGATATAATGGTTGATAGTGGATTTCAACTGGATTTTATTATGGAGTTTAGCTTTCTCGATTTCCAGTTATGCAATTTTGCAACATGCAAAAAATAAAAGGGAACACTTCAGCTCCTTTCCACTGACTTTCCTTACCTTCTGTAGTTACTTCCTTTTTGATACTTCACATAGCAATTGTTTTCACTTTAATTTTATTTATTTTTCTCCATTTTAGATATTAATCTAAAAATGGAAAATAGACTACACACTTCTAGAAGTTGATGCAGAAACAACAGATTGTGAATATGTACGTGTGTAAAGAGGCAAAAAACAGCAGTGCTATTAAAAAAGCAATTTATGTCAGACTGAAAATAGAGCAGAGTCTTCAACAAAAGTTTAAGCTAATCCTTTTGTAGCTAGAACTGTACTAGGGTGCTCTGTGTAACTGGAGCTGGAACCACAATGTGACTGCCCCAGAAGGGATAGCTGCACCACAACCTTGCCTCCAGCTTCGGCACATGGGGCAACGACCTCCCATATGCTCCCACCGCAGGAGCAGATGGGCGACCACCACAGGTCGGGGAGCAGGGATTGAGACAGTCTGCAGAGGCAGAACTAACTCCACGAGTAGATCACACAGCTGGCAGCAGGGCCAGGAGAGGGGCCAAGGGGCAAAATCAGGGCAGGCAGTGGGCTTTAGAACAGGATATGAGCCCTGCCAGCCAGTGGCAGAGGAGAAACCCCAGGATAGGAAGAGGGTAGAGGGGATGGCAATGATGGGGCAGGTAACCTTCTACAGTGCTTGCAAACATTGAGGCTATAACT